TCAATCAGCGGTAATTAAAAGAAAGCACCTGGACGAATTTCGTTTTGACGTACGGAAACGCCACCAACGTTTTCGATCGCGTTTTTGTACGGTTGATCGGCAGTGTACAACCGCAAATAATGTACAATCGTACGACTTTTGACTTTCCAGCAGGTTAGAAAACTTTGGTCGAGGGTACGCTTTTCGCAAGGTTGGTGGCGTTTCCGTACGTCAAAATTCGTAGGATTTACAATGCTCATGCGCAAACGAAAAGCCTACGGTTGATCAAACTTTTCTAACCTGCTGGTTAGTCAGAAGTCGATCGATTTGTACAGTATTTGCTGTTGTACACTGCCCATCAACCTTACGAATATTGGACGAATACGCGATCGCATATGAAAATCGGCCAATATTCGTAAGGTGTATGGGCAGATTAAGAAAGATCATGGGTTGAATCAAAACATCACCATGGAATGCCCACTCCCATGCTCACCCAAATCCGTACGCATTGGGTAGAGCAACAAACCTCTTGTCGGTAATGGTGTGTATAATCCGCACTGCATTCTTGGCTCTTTGGCATGATTGAGTTGAAGCTGACGGTGCTCACCTATTCATGAAAGTTCACTGACAGCATCAACCTGAACTCAGTAAAACTAGCTCTAAGCGGCCACCCCTGCTGTTGAGCATGCAGAGGTTCAGTGGAGTTAACTGCAAAAGATAGCACAGAGCCGGGTGAATATATTCAACAATGATCAAGTTCCCAAACTTTCGTGGCAAAAATGCAAATTCTGTAAAGCAAAGAGGTCGATATGCAGCTGTTCATGGAATCTGTCCCCCTCCCCCCCTCCAGTCGGGAACACAAATAAAAACTCCAGTGTGTTTCTTTAGTGCTACGTTTGTGCTGTTTTATGCCGCAAAAATTAACAATCGTGCTGCTTTTATTTTTAAGATAATAGCAATTTTTTTTTTTTTTAAGATGATGACTTCACCCAGATACCCCTGATAAAGCCAAAACACATGAAACTAGCTAGTTAGTTAGTGCCACGTATGTGCTGCTTGATGCCATTTAAATTTCCATTCTATCTCCTTTTGTTTTCGCGTTAACAACGATTTATTAAAGGTCACCCAAGGTCACCCAGCCCTCTACAACAGCCAAACGGGCTGGATGGTTAGTGCCACGTTTGTGCTGGTTTGTGCCATTTAAATCTCCATTCTATCCCCTTTTTTTTTTCAAGTTATTAATTATTTAAGAGTCACTAAAGATTACACAACCCCCCTACAACAGCAAAAAGATACGTAATCGGGTTAGCTGGTTAGTGCTACGTTTGTGCTGCTTTTATTTTTAAAATAACAGCAATTATCCTGAAACCAACCGTCACCAAAGGTCACCTTTGGTGACCTATGAATGTTAATTTTTACAGCATAAACGTAGCACTAACCAAGCAGCAAGTTTCAAGACAGATCCGGAGAGACTGAGCGGAGGGGAAACATGACTGGGGGGAGGAATAGTCCCGGGAGAAGGAGTTAAAATAAAATGGGGATAGCTGGTCTTACCTGATTGGATGTTGGGGTCAGGTGTCCGGGAGGAGCCGCATGGGAAGGAGCTACAAGGGCTGAGGGACGTCCTTTCTGGAAAATTGATGAAGGAAGCAGGTTGTCCCTCCCTTCCTGAATTCTATAGTTCTGGGGGTTGTGGGGTTCTTTTTGTCACGGCAGCTTGGCGGGTTAGGGGGTCTTTAGGGGGTCTACAAAATCGGAGTTGATTACAAAAATGGGGGCCATCAGTATGGGTGCTTCCCCCCTGTTGGTGTCTGGATTTGTAGGGGGTGGGGCCTGGCCTCTTGGGAACCTGGAAGTAGTAATTGTCCTCAAGCTGGTTGTGGTGCGGCTGGGGACATGGGTGGAGTGTTAATAGAGGCCTTTTTTTCAGGTCATGAGAGTATTATTTGTATATATTATTTGGTTTATTACTTTTGGTTGTTGTTAGTTGTTTGGTGTCATTAAAGGGCTGCTGTGGCCGTTAAAATCCATGTCGCGCAGTCCGTGTGTTTATTGGGGGTTTTAACAGAGGGACGAAAATTGACGAATCCATCAGTCATGTCTTTTGGCTGTTGTAGGGGGCTGGGTGACCTTTAATAAATAGTTAATAACTCAAAAACAAAAGGAGATAGAATGGAGATTTAAATGGCACAAACCAGCACAAATGTAGCACTAACCAACCAAGAAGTTTTGTGTGTTTTGGCTGATTGGGTGATGTCATCATCTTTAAAAAAAAAAACAATTGCTATTATCTTAAAAATTTAAAGCAGCACAAATGTTCATTTTTGTGGCACAAAAACAGCACAAACATCACTAAAACACACTGGAGTTTTTATCTGTGCCGATTGTGTGTGTGTGTGGGGGGCAGCTTCGCTGAGCTCATGAGTCCGGGTAGGTTTGCTCAATATGAAGAGTTAAATCCACAGATTGTGTATAGTGTCAAGCATTAGGCTCATGTGTATGATGGCTCCATCTAGGACTCTAATAGAGCAAATCATATATCCTGAACAGAGATCAATATGCTTGGCTGCAGAAATAGCAAATATGTACATGGTGAAAGAGAAATAGGACACAAAAGTCTCTTTATAGATCAACTTCAACTGCAAAATCAAGTATGGTGCATCCAAGTGTTGGGGGCCAATGTATAAAACTTCAGCCCAGTGACAAATGCCGTTTGCACGATATTTCGGCCACTAGCATAATTCCTATGCTTCTTGTCTCCATCTAGTGGCCATAGTGCCGCATGAGCGGCATTTGCTTTGCTATACGCAGGGCAGAAGTTTTTATACATCAGCCCCTTGCAGTACAAGTGGGCGGGACTAGGTGTGTGGCAGTGATTTAATGCGATCCGGCAAGTTTTTTGGGGGGATTTTTCTGATTTCTTTTTTTTATCTTGAAGAATAGGCAATATCACAATGCCTAATATATAGCACAATACAGCCCTTTTACCAGTTCAAGAACAAGGCAACTCATACAGGCAGAATAACAGGCTACAGGGTGTTCGAGGAGTGCTGTAGACAGGTTCTCTCTACTGGCATAAGCGGCCTGGGTAGAATTATCTGCTGGTGTGGCTGGGCGCACGGATGCGCCAATTTCAAAAATAGGTTCACAAGGTCTTTTCCCATTGTTGGGTCTCCAGAAGGGAGTCAGGACTGACCCTCCGTCCCTAATAGACAGGAAACTTTCCCTATCTTCAACTTAAATCTCCCTCTCCAGCATGGGCACTCTCATTGACTACACACTCCCTGCACCACAGAGTTCACCACATGAGCACAGCAGGGGCTATAAATAACCACTCTAGGTCCAAAAATGGCTGCCCAAATCTCGGGACAACTCAGCAGTGTTTATTGAGGCACAGGCTCCCCCAATATGGCCACCAGGAACAATTTAATTTTTTGGCAGGCTTCCCTAGCATCACAGATGAGCAGTAATCTGGTGGAAGGTTTGGTGTAGAACAAAAGGGAACCTCAATTGTGGAACTACAGGTCCCTTGAGGCAGTGCAACCCCGAGAGCCACGGAGATGACTTCGAGAAGCAGATGCATGGGATCTGTAGTTTGACCGCAGCTGGAGTTGCCTACCCCTGGTGTAGAATATATTACTTTAAAACGTGTGCCCACATTCTATAGTAAATGCAAGACAATCCAGTACTTGTGATATAGCGTGATTGTATCACCATAGTGTAAACAGAATATAGAGAGACTGTCTCTTATGGGACATCAAAAAGGCAGATTTATATCACCCAATTAATAATGGGATGTCCAAACAGAGGTATTATACGGTTTAGCCCAATTGCAGGTCACTGGGTGTTTTAGTGGCTGTATTCTCCCAGATGGAAAGGATTAGTCCATATGAATTGATCCTCAAGGATTCAGGATGGGGGGTGTCCACTAAGGAAAGGGGTAGCTGTGGGTAGCACTGCACGCGTTTTGTCCCTTTTAACGGCGACTTTCTCAAGCAAAGTCAAAAAGCGTCACTAGTTTGGGATGGAGTTGGGTTTTTAGATGTCTGGTGTTCACTGAGACATATTTTGTTATGTTATAATTGTTCTGGAGTTTTTGGTTCAGCAGCAAAAAGGCTGACATGAAATTTCTGTGTTTCTTTTCAAAGGTCAACAGACGGAGGCTCTTCGTATGCATCCTGCTTTGTCTGTCTTTGAGTTACTTCTTCTATGTAAGGTCTCTGATGTGAGTATAGAAATGTGTCTGCCGTTCATTAAGCACATGCGATTCAGCCAATTGTATTTAAACGGCCGGACAGATGACTCCTAAGGGCGGGTGGGCGTTTATAAACGTCCTTTCCCGCTCACACACGCCCTCTTCATGCGATCAGGAGTGCGAAAGTTTGATACATTTAAGCCTTGGATACATACAAGTAGGGATGCACTGATACCGATACTAGTATCAGTGCCGATACTGAGTTTTTGGGTGAATATGAGTACTTGCCCAAATGCTCCGATACCGGAACTTCTGGTCAGAGGGAGATTTCCTCTGATCAGCAGAGCCGCAAGGGAACATGGAGCAGGGAAGCCGGCTCCATGCTGTTTGGCCGGCTCCATGCTGATTGGCCCGGGAAGCCGGCTTTCCAGCCAATCAGCATCGAATTGGCCAAACAGATCTGATAATATGCTGAAACAAACTCCATCCTGCAGACACCTCATTCCCCCTCACATCACACCCATATACGTCCTCAGGAGCAGTCATCACCGTACCACAGGTGTCCCTCGGCCAGCCGGGCAGACACTGCTCTCCAAGCCACTTTACCTCTCCTGGATCTGCCCATGTCTCGGTGTCACGAGATGTACAAACGCTGCTTGCCTTCTGTGTGTGTACAGCGCCCGCACCGCCTGCGTGATCGATGGAATAATAATAATCCTGTTAGAGGATTTCTGAGCGAGAGCACTGAGCAGGCTGTGCATGCACAGTAGCAGGCTGAGGGCCGATCACAAAGACGCGATAGCAGGCTGAGGGCTGATGACCGCACATGCGCGATGGCTTCATCACGCACGTTCGTGGCAATGTCACCCGCATGCCCGTTGATGTCACGGCGGGGTGTCACCCGGTCTCCGCTCGGGGTGAGACCCGGCCTCGGGACGGCCCTGTGCCCAACCTGCGACTTGAGGGCCACATATGGCCCTTTGCTGCTCACTGTGCGGCCCTTTGCAGACCCCAGTAGTCAGTAGTGGAGTCTGTAATGACAGTGATCTCTAGCAGTCTCATGTAGCCTATGCCCAGTCTCTGACTATATCCTGAGTGTATTTTCAGTCCCCAACTATCCCTGCTCTGGTGCAGATAATCATTTTATTTGTTTAGAAAGATTAAAAGTGATAAATGGTACTCACAAAAGAGGTGGATAAAAAGCGTGTTGGACATAAATCTTAGGATACATGCAGATTCCTAGCAGTCAGAGAAAACAATCGAAATATGCTGATAGACCAGCAGAAACAAGCTGACTCAGCATTTTGTGGAATTTTCTCCTAAAATATGTCTGAAGGCTTTGAAACTCTTTTGTCTTTTACTTAATCTTATGTGCGGCCCCTTAGAGCTGTCAGGGGCCACAGTAGAGGCACATATGGTTGCCACCTTACCAGGATTCACCCGGACAGTTTGGGTTCTGAATGCTGTTTCCGGGTTTCATGGCACCAGGAACCCGGACACAAGGGGCAACCAAAATTAAGATAGGGGCTACTGGCCCCCCACTGAAAATAGTCTCAACTGTATTATTTACATATTAATGGGTGGTGCCCATTACATATGAATAAGCCACGACTCATTCTCCCAAAAAAATATGTCTGCGTGTCGCTGGAGTGTTCGGGTTTCGCTTGAAGAAAAGGTGGCAACCCTAGAGGCACACCACGCTTTGTAAATTGACAACCACTGTTATAGAGGTTTCTGTATAGACAATTAGACATCATGGTGCCCTCTAGTTGTCATTTTGAGTGAGTGAGTGAGAATTCCTGAAATAGAATATAACTGCAATTTTGACTTGCATAATACATTTGGACTTGGACCAGTTTAATGAGTTAACTTTACCGAAGATGAATCCTGTTTCCGGGGGTTTGGCCTGGCTTTGTTGTTTTGGTGTAAGCAATCTGGTCGCAGGCAGAGTTATATATAGTGAAGGTAACCTGACACATTGTCATTTTTTTCCCGGCCAATCAGGAAGCCAGGAGCCATGTAATGACTCGCCGCCTGGCTTCCTGATTGGTCAAAATGCTGGCCAATCAGGAAGCTCGGCGGCAAGTCATTACCCATGTGTATGTGCCTTTTATAACTTCCTAGAGTTTATGAACAAAAACAAGAACATTTTAGGCATAATCTGGATAAAGCAAGAGTTAGGACAGCACGTAATAAGGAAGTACTGTACATGCTAGGATGCCCATTGTTTGGGGGGCCCACTGGCACATTTTGCCTCGTGGAAGATAATTGGTTAGTTGTCCCTCGGACCACTTACAAGTTCTTTGAGCGTATGGGTTCATTGGCATAGAAAATTGTCACATGGGGAATCAACCAAGCTCACTTTCAAATCCCAGCTGATGCAAACCCATTTGCTCATCATGGGCCACGACCATCACATTGTCTAATTTCCCTTAAATTTGATCGCCAGGTCAAACCCAATCCTCCCCACTCTAGTGCATCTACTGGCATCTACTTGATGGGTGAAGGTGTCATAAGCTTCCAGTACTATATTACCATTTCTCAGAGTTATTAAAGTTCATACCCCTTTAAGAGAAAGCAATGTTCAAAGACCCCTGGTTTGGGTCACCGCAAATACATTTTTTTACCCCTAGTTCTGAAATGTACTGTATATACATCCCTTATGTATGTAATCTAACTTTCTTTGTGCCTCTGTGTCATCTTGTGTCCTTTCAGCTGCTTTCCTAAGGTGCCCACTGTGACATCTTGGGGGGCTCCAATCGTCTGGGAGGGAGCCTATGACATGGAGAAGGAAAACCGAATTCATCAAGAGCAAAGGACCGTGGTTGGACTCTCAGTCTTTGCTGTGAAACAGTGAGTGTTCTTATCCTCCGGTCCTTGTGATTGTATCACTATTGCTTGTTGGATTAAAGCAGGACTCCAGGCATATAAAACCTTAACACTTGTAGTGGGGCTACTCCTGCAATGCAAGGGTTAGGTGCTTGGTTTGTCTAGGGAGCTAAAATGGCAAAGTTGTACTCACCCAAACCGCAATCTCTGCTGGCTCCAAGACCGGTCCTTGGCTTGCAGCCTGGCTCCCCTTCCGCCCCAGCGGTCAAAGGTCCTGAGTGTGTAGGATGTGAGGACACCGAGGGACAGTCCATCGCTGGAGCAGAGTGGTAGAGAGGCTAAAGGGTTGAGGTTCAGCAATGTTATGTCCCCGAAAAATGAGGTCATCTACTTACTTGAATATACTGAATGATCAGGTTTTTCCATCAATGGTTTTTTCTCTTCCTTGTGATTGATTTTGCGCTGTTAATATTGAATAGTGAATATTTTTGCACAAAAAGAAGTTTAGGAAGAGTAAGATACAATATATAGTTCTGCACTCATATCACATATAGTTTCTTTATACTAAAGTGTATGGAAATCCAAACAGTGAACTGTTCTTATCTGCTCCCTTTTGGTCTGTTGATTATACTATTGAAAGCATTTTGCTATATCCTATATGATCAATGCGTGTAAAAAAAAAAACTTGACCCAGTAACAGTGATGCTACCTTTTTATTTAGTTTAATTAATTTAATTAGAATGCCTTTAATGATTTTTTTTTACTGGTATTGTAATGTAAGTTCCTCTTCTCTTCTCCTCTCAGGTATCTGGAAAGTTATCTCGCTGACTTCCTCGTCTCTGCCAACCTGTACTTTATGCCGAACCTCTCCTGCGTGTTTTACATCCTCACCGACCGTCCAGATCAAGTGCCCGATATTAAACTGCGCCCCGGAGTGTCCAAGGTCATCCTCGAGATTCCCAAGAGAAGCCGCTGGCAGGATATCTCTATGCTACGCATGAAAGACTTGCTTGAGCTGGTCTTGCCTCGGGCCGCAAAGCAAGTTAATTACCTGTTCTGCATGGATGTTGATCAGGTAAGAAAGGTTCATTATGATCATTGACCACACCTGGATGATAATTTCACAATCTACATAGGGGCTTTCATAATATTAGTATTGGCTTCTATTAATGACATACTCCTTATGGCTAGCTATACTTTCTTGTTGCTTCCAAAGCCCCACTACATACAGGCCATGGTATCCATGCACTGCAGTGATGATGGTCATAAAGTCTGAAACAGCTGTATGAAGTTTGGAATAAATGGCTGTATAATATTAGGCTGTATCTGTGCTATAAATAAGTGGTCCTGGATGGATGGTTGGCCATGAAGGAATGGTTTACATTGCTCTACCAGATATCCTAGAGTAATAATTGCTGATGGAAGTGAGACAATTAGGGCCGTCCTTATAATGTGGTTGCCTCAGGCTGTCTCATTATTCTCTCGGTCACATGTGCTGCCAACACCCCTCCCAATGTGCACCACCAGCACCCTGGCAGGACCCCCCACTCTCCCAGCCCCTCCCAGCCTCAGGCGGCGAAAATTGTAGGGACACCCCTGGAGACAGTATTATTATCATATTATTATATAGGAATTTATAAGGCACCAACAATTTGAGCAGAGCTTTATAAAATAAAGAACAGCGCAGTTACAATACAATTCAAGACAAGAAGGTTAGGATGGTCCTGCATCTGGTTTGAGAAGGATCCACTGTGCTTCATAGTCCCATCCATGGAACCAATGAAAAAGTGTTAGGGGCAGAGCTAATGTAGCAGGCACATCATATTGCTCTACACAGATCTGATGTTCTGTACCATCAGACACCTCAATACAGTGAATCCGTGCTTTGCTGAAGGGCAGAAGACCAAGTTGACTTATCTGAGTGCTCCCCTGGCTGCTTATGTTCATCTTCTGTTTGCTGCCCCATCTGTCTGATCACCTGGAGAAGCAAAAAGAAATACCTTTGAGGTATGACGGAGTATGTGACTGTCTCGCCATCCTCCCATGAGGGAAGAGGCTTTGGGGGACCATTCACATTAAGAGGAGGAAGCCTGAGAGAGTGTGGGATAGGCTATTTATATCCTCTTATTCATCCCTAATGCAGGGGTAATTTTGTGTCCCTAGAATTCAGCTTTAAGAATAAGAAATCTTATGCCAGCAATGTCATCTTTCAAAGTGAAATAAGAACTCCCTGTGTTTCTTCATAGAATAACCAACCACAGTGAAACCTGCCCTGAAAAATGAAGACTGAAAGTTTTAGGGCTTATTCACACAGACATGCACATCTGCACGGCATGCATGCTCGTGCAAAGACCTGCTCTGGGAGTGATAGGTGCTGTGTCTAATTGCATGCAGCCACCTGTACATCCCTATTGGGGGGCGGGGGGGATACGGCTACATGCCAATGCACTGTCTGCGTCCAAGTGCGGGCACCCGGACCTGCACGGATTTGGAGGTTCAGGTCAACATGTAGCCGTGTACAGCCATGTCCAACCTTAGGGAAGTACAGGCAGTTGCATGCAATTAAACGCAGCCCCTGTCCCTCTCTGGAGCAGGTCTCTGCATGGGCATGCACGCAGTACACGTGGGTATGACCCCCTTTCATGATCAGTTCATTTCCATAATGCAGACCAGCATCTTAGACACCTATATAAGAGTCCTTGGTCAGAATCCAGCAGTCTCAGCTTTCCATTTCTGTATTTGCAGATATTCACTTCCAGTTATGGCCCGGAGGTCCTTGGCAAGCTGGTGGCACAGTTACACTCTGGTTACTACCTGGCCAAACCAGAAGACTTCACCTATGAAAAGGACCCCCGATCTGCAGCCTACATACCTCCAGGGGAGGGGCAATTTTACTACCACGCCGCCGTGTTTGGCGGCACGCCCTCTCATCTCGTTAACCTTACCACCGGCTGTCTGAAGGGCATCTTAAAGGACAAGAAGCAGAACGTGGAGGCGGTGTGGCACGACGAAAGTCATCTCAACAGATATTTTGCCTTGGAAGCTCCGCCACTGAAGATACTGTCACCGGAGTATTGTTGGGACAACAGATTGTGGTTGAAATATCGTAAACTGGTCTGGGCAGAGAAAAAATATTCAAAAACAAGGGTATAACTACTCAAGCAGGTATAGATGAGTGATGAAAACCCCCTCGGGTAAGTTGTAAGGGACAGTGGCGGACCTAAGGAACAAAGGACACTGGTGCAAAATTTTTTGGGGGGCCCCCACCCCCACTTAGAAGCCCATCAGCCCATGCCTCCTCCAATGGGGGGGGGGGCTTCATGGCTAATCGCTTGCCTCCAACTCCAACTTTAGCTGCTCATGTTTTACCCCCTGTGCCATTGCACAGATTATCAGGCCTTTCCCTGTCCCGTTGGGTTCCTACTTTAGTTACTGTGTCAGCTAAACTATGGGAGTTGTTTCTCACCCTCTCCCACAGAGCAGTTCTCTTCCAATAGGGCAGCGGTTCTCAACCTGTGGGTTGCAAAACCAAAAGTGAGTCGCAACCCATTGTTGAGTGGGTCGCGGCGTCCATTTCTGCTGCGCTGGGTGAGAGCGTCCTCCATGCGCAGGAGTGCCAGTCAGCAGGAGGACAGCAACGACTGTGAATATAAAAGTGCCGTTGTACACACTCCCTGGCCGCTGCAGCGACATCTAGTGGCCTGAATGTTTACAGCAGGACTTTTCTATTCACAGCCGTTGCTGTCCTCCTGCCTCCCCCACAGGAGGCGGGCATCTTAGCAGTGCTGGGGCTGAGAAGGCTTCATGGAGACAGAGCAGGCAAGCAGGTAGCAGGGGCTGGGGAGGGCTTGTATTCTTGTGAGTGTGCTTCTATTTTTATTTCTAAGTCCAGTGCGTTGCTATGTCCTGAGTCCAGTGCATTACTAAGTCCTGAGTCCAGTGCGTTACTAAGTCCTGAGTCCAGTGCGTTACTAAGTCCTGAGTCCAGTGCGTTACTAAGTCCTGAGTCCAGTGCGTTACTAAGTCCTGAGTCCAGTGCCTTACTAAGTCCTGAGTCCAGTGCAATACTAAGTCCTGAGTCCAGTGCAATACTAAGTCCTTAGTCCAGTGCGTTATTGCCAGAATCGGACCGGAACGCACTGCAACTGGTGTGAACGGGCCCTAATGGCAGAAATCAAAAGACAGAGTGAAAAGTAGACCCCCCGGCTACTGAACTGAAAGTGCTGGTTTCCTGGCTATCATGCTGACCTTCTGGATTAAATGCTTCAAAGCCCAAGCAAGTATGCCCATAAGGGGTCCTGTTCCTCATCTTTGTTAATAGGAATGTTGGGAAACAAGTCAGCATTTGCAGAGAGAAGCCAGCAGTAGCAGCCATCTCCTCTCATGACAAATTCTCACTGAAGATGCTAGTAATAAAAAAAAAGAAGAAATAATGGGAGCGGACAACGACACCCCAGTACTTTCTGGGGACTCCCCAGGAGTGACACTGACACCCCCAGAACTTTTAGAGACACCCCGGGACTTTCTGCACTCATCCAGCTCTGCTTCTTTACCTGACGTTTGCTGGAAGCAGCGGCGGTGCCATAGAGATGTCGGGAGGGGGCGGAGGCACAATCCCTGCTTGGAACGGTCCACTAAGCATACAGGAGGGGGTGGAATTACAATTCCCCACCCTGTTCCCTAATACCTGCATGTTCTCCAAGATCAGTGAGTGGAGAGAGATGAGGTCCCCACCCTCATTACAGCCTCAGGCCCTCTTGCAGTCGCATTGGCTGCACCGGCGGTAGGTCCGCCCCATATAAGGTAGCTGTCAAACTAGAGAGGGTTTAGGCTTGGGGTTTTGTGCCCACGTTCCAAGTGAACTCCGGGTACAAAACCTATTTTACAGTTATATACAGTGGTGTGATCTCCCCTCCCCTCAATGTACTGTTTGGGCAGTGACGGAGGAGCAGAAGACTGAGCAACTCATCCCTATGCTACCATTGCTCCATCATGTTGCTTGTCAGCCCATTTGCATGTAGCAAACCTAATGGACTTGCAGTTTTGTTCATCTCTCTCCTAGTCTGAGCTCTACTACCGTGTATCCCCAAAAATAAGACACTGTCTTATATTTTTTTTGGCTCAAAAAAACACACTAGGTCTTATTTTCGGGGTAGGTCTTATTTTTTTTTTAATTAATGTACAACAATCCACACTCATTCATGTACAAAACAATGGTGATTAGGGCAATCAGGGGTGCCATACCTTTCCAAGAGCAATTTGCTAACCAATTGCTGGCCAGAATGAGGGAAGCGCGCTTTCACTATCGATTCCTCACAGGAGGAGTGCATTTGGTATCACTCAGTCTGTGACAGGAGCCAGCGCTATAGAGGAGGCATCGGCTGATTCTCTCCTGCCTCTCCCACGGAGCTTCAAGTTCCCCCTTATGACACCACCGACCCACGGAATGGTCACAACTAGGTCTTATTTTTGGGGTAGGTCTTATATTTTAGCAATTCCCAAAAATAGCACTAGGTCTTATTTTCGGGGTAGGTCTTATTTTCGGGGAAACGCAAAAGGCTGCTACCAGGTCAACCACCCTGCACGTATCCTGCTTTCATTTAAAAATGCATGCCATGACCTATTAATGAGTACAGAGCTGCGTACATGTGTCATGTATATTAGCCGGGGAGTCAAATTTGAAATCAAACCCATATTTAAAGATTAAAAGTGATGAAAGAGATTTAGAGAGACACTCACCTTGCCCTTTTAGAGCAAAGTAAGGCTGCCCATACTACACCTTGCGATCATCGGAGGACACTTTTCGTCCGATGATCGAACCGTCGTACAATTTTCGTACGGCAGCCCCATCCTGCCCCGATTATCGCAAGGTTGGATCAGCTGTAATTAGAAGAAAGCACCTGGACGAATTGCGGTAATCGACCGCAGGTATTTTCGGCTGCGCATGTGCAGTGTAGATCGTATGAATTTTGACGTACGGAAACGCCACCAACCTTGCGAAAATCATACGATCGACTGAAGTTTTCTAACCTGCTGGTTAATCAAAACAGCATTTGCGGTTGTACACTGCCCATCAACCATACGAATATCGGACGAAAACGCGATTGCATACAAAAATCGGCCGATATTCCTAAGGTGTATGGGCAGCTTAACAGTGTCTATGTAACGGGGCCCCACCTTGATGCTCACACTTACAATGCTTGAGCTCCCCCTCCGCATCCTCCTCCATTGCAGTCAGCACCAGAACCTCCAGTGTCGGCTGGAGTCGGATCGGTGACGTCATTCCCCCGGTTATGTCACAATTGGCTGCTAGACCCTAGGAAATGGAAATAGAAGCAGTGACGCATTACGGAGGTATCAGTGGATGTAAATATAAGTTTGGAAACCGCTATTATGTTCCATTTGTTCTTATTTGTATTTCTTATTTTTGAATATCTATTTTTTAATTATTATTGAGATGTAGTTCTATTGGGAATTTTTTTTAATATGGTTTGGTCAATGATTTGTTGTAGTATTTATAAACATATTTTGTGGCCAATTTTTTTCAATGGACTGACAGATTTATATGCTAATATTTCTGAGTTATTTTTGTATTCCGTTACCCTTAGGAGAACTATGGGGAAAAGCCTTAACCCCATAGTGACCCAAAGCTCAGTATAGCTCACGGTATACTGAGATGCCGCCGCTGGAACGGATCCCGACAATTATGTCTGGATCCACCCAGCTGCGTGAGAGACAACTGCCTATGTAGAAGCAGAGCCAGCTGTACCCGCCCCCTCCCCCGTCCGTTCCGCCAGTCAGCGCTGGAGGATCGGACAGGGGAGGGGGGAGGGGGAATCCCTGCATTGAGCTGTGAGTGACAGTCACGGCTCTCTGCAGGCATAGATCGAGAAGTGAGCGAGAGACGGTATGCGCTCACTTCCCGATCTACTGAGCCCACCTGTGACAGTTTCATTGTCACAGGTCGGCTCAGATTATGAGGTGAGTGAAAATCACTCACCTCATAATTCTCCTTTTAAAGTGTAAATGATAAGCAAAACTTTTTTTTTCAATTTGATAGAGTACAGAAGAGTTATAACGCCTATCAAGTTTTTTTTTTGTCTCTCACCTGGATTGTTTCTTTGATTAAGGATTAATTATCCAGGTGAGATTAAGGCCCCATTCACGCGGGAATCGTCCGGCACGTACAGCTCCGTGCTGCGTGCACGGCCGTATCGGGAAGGACAGGTGCTGTGTGTGATTAGTACGCAGCCCCCGTCCTTCTCCACGGGACTGCGCAGCCATACGCCCCCCTACGCTCACCTCAAGTGCACGTCCGTGCGGGTGCAGGTCAGTGTACTCATACGCTGACAGGATGGATCCTGTGTGCGTCCGAGCCAGGAAACACGCACCCACACGGACCTGCACTTCAGGTGATCGTAGGGTGGGGTATCGCCGCGTAGTCCCATAGAGAAGGACAGGGGCTAAGTACTAATCACACGCAGCACCTGTGCTTCCCGGGAGCATGCCGGAGCATGCAGCACGGAACTGTACGTGCGGGCCGATTCCCGCGTGAATGCGGCCAAAAGGGGAAGGCTGGCGCATGCTTCTCTGGCCTGGGACTCAGACAGCATTCTGAGAGAGTGGCGATGTGGAGATGTTTGTGAGCAAAAGGTTGCTGGAAACACTTTGGTTTTGTGAGGTGGCTGAGAGAAGCTCACTACCTGTTAGATAGGATACCTGAATGTCTAGTTAGAGCCTATAAGGCAAGGATTTATTTTCTGTTTTATTTTGTTTTTATTGCAACCTTTGAAATAAAACTGACGCAAGTCAGATTGAAAAGAACCTGCTGATTGGTTGCCATGGGCAACTGCTCCAGATTTTCTCTGCTCCAGTTTTGATAAATTCCCCTCACAGTATATTTAATTTATTTTTCACTGATTTGTATTGGGCCTTGTAATGCAACTTGCATAAGTACCATATATATTTATGTATACTGTATAATAATTTATATTTGTTTCTTTAGAGTAGCCACTTATGATTGCTTTTTAGGAATGGTTGGAATCGGTTTTTGAAACTGCTATTTTTTTCTTCTATTTATACATTCTTAACCACTTGCTGCCCGGAGCAATTTCTTACATTTGCACACACATGATAAAATCTGAATTTTTGGCTAGAAAACAGCTTCAGACCTCTAAACAATTATATATTTTCTGAAAGCAGAGGCCCCGTAGAATCAAAAGATGCTAGTTGCAATTTTTTTATGTTGCACGGTATTTGCGCAAATGTTTATCAAACAAGTATTTTTAGGCTAAAATACACTAAAATGAAATTTAGTGCACAGAAACAGAATATAATACCCGATTTTTTGTTAAAATATAAAAGATGGGGTCACGCGGGGTGAATCGATAGCAAACATGTCAAGCTATAAAATTGCGTGCGTCTGTTAAACTGCAAAAAATGACAATAATCAAAGTTTCCCATAGGCGACGCTTTAAACGCTTATATGGCTCATCAGTTTAGTGCTAACAGTGATTGATGGGCCTACAATTATTGCTTGCGAAGATATGGAACATGTGGCACAATTTTCGTTTTTGCATGTAGGCGCATCCGATGTGTGTTTGCGTTGTATGTGCCTGCATGTGGGGGGTGGGGGACTTGAAAAAAATTGTTTGCATTTTTTTTTTTTTAATCTCTAAATTTTTATTTTTACTTTTTTTTTCCACTCCGCTTTATTGCTATTGCATAGGGGGATAACAAGCACCCCATGTAATAGCAAACATAATGTGACATGTCCTCTTTATGGAGACATCAGGGGTCCCCTAATGTCACCTAGGGACCCCAAAGAAGCTGATGAAGCACAGATCTGCTTCACCAGCTTCTTCTTCTGGCTCTAGGAGCCGGAGAATGTGCCCCAGTGACACCGGAAGTGATGTAATGCACATCACTTCCGGGTCCAGTGATTGGAGGAGAGATCAGCGGTTGGAAGCCGCTGATCTCTCCTCCGATCTATCAGGGGAGACCCGCCATGCCGGTCCCGGGCTCACACGGGGGACAGTGGGGCCCGGGAAGCAGTCGGTGGCATCGGGGGACACACGCCGCAGCACTACAAGCGCCTGTGCAGACATCTGTCACATGTCATTGCTTGAAGAAGGGGATCCTGTGTGACCCCGAAACGGTCGTCGAAACTTTGTGACATGTAGTTTTTTCTACAATAAAAAGACTTTGTATTTGAACCAACATTGGAGTGCCGGTGTCCCTGTTTCCTGCTGTTACATGACGGTTGCCGTCCGTCGACCACCGCAGCACCCAGATTCTTTCATTGGAGACAAGCGGTCAGGAGTCCGATGGGTTCATGGATCTAGCCTGTACAGACACCGGATCACTTGTATTTAAACAGCAATCGTCGGCTGTTTAAAACGGTACCAAGAACATAAAAAAAAAAATTACGAGTTCTTGGTATAACCACTTCCAGCAGAGGACGTACATTTACATGAACCTGCTGGAAGTGGTTAAAAAGTAGATAATTTTTAATTTAATAATTTGCATATGAATTATTTATTGTGACATTTTCTATCATTTATTGGTTAACAAAATGCAGGTGAATTTTTTTTAAAGATTTTTTTAAATTTTTAGCAATATTTTTTCTTTTTCTTGTATGAATACTGATTTTGGAAACATTAGTTCTATTTTACAACAAATGTAATGTAATTCACATATTTTATACACTGCCTGGCCAAAAAAAGTCACCACCTGGATTTCGGGCAGTGTTATGATCTGGGGTTGCTTCAGTTGGTCAGGTGTGGGTTCAGCAATGTTATTTCTCCATAAAATTAGGTCATCTGCTACCTGAATATACTGAATGGCCAGGCTTTTCCATGCAATTGTTTTGTTTTTTTATCCATGATGGCATATTCCAAGATGCCAATGCCAGGATTCATTGGGCTCAGATTGTAAAAGAGTGGTTCAGGGAGCATAAGACCTCTTTTTCACACATGGATTGACCACCCCAAAGTCCAGACCTTAACCCCATTGAGAACCAATTGAGAATCTTTGGGATGTGCTGGAGAAGACATTACACAGTAGTCCGACTCTCCCATCATCACTACAAGATCTCGGTGAAACATTAATGCAACTCTGGATGGAAATAAATGTTGTGACATTGCAAAAGCTTATCGAAACGATGCCATTGCATAGCGTGCAGTAATCAACGCTAAAGACGGTCCAACTAAATATTGGAGTGTGTGACTTTTTTTTTGGGGGGTCGCGGGGGGGGGGGTAGTGTAATTTTTTTATGTGTTCTTATTTATTCATTTATATACAGCCTTCTAATGCAACCTACAGTGTTACTATTGTACAAGTGTGTGTGATCAAAATAAAGTTGGTTTATATATTTATCTGCTGCTGGAAATACCTCCTTTTTTTTCTACTCTACTAGTAGCTTCTCATTATTTGTTTAGTGCTTTTGGTAATATTTGCCCACTCATTGCTTTCCCATGGATATGATATATTGTACACTACTACATATTCACATGACAAGTTTCGTCTTTATTTCATTTAAACGTGTCTCACCGATTGACAACAGCAACAGAGGATTGTGGGTAGTGAAACAGCCATAGACTGTGTAAGGACTTCAACTCCATACTCCTCCTGTAGGACACATTGCAGGCATTTGCACAAAAAGGGGAGTGGGGAGCACTGAAACTCAATAGTTGGTGAAACGATAGTTGGGGTGAAGTTCGGCCTTCACGTCACACACCAAGCTTAGCAGTCTCCTCAGCACGACTTCCTTATTCTTTCCATGACTAGTCTGAACCATCTGCAGTGTCTTGCGGGTCCGTGCCTCCACCTCAGAGGACAGGTCGCCCTGTGTACCTAAGGCCTAAAATAAAAATAATGGTGTTATATAAAAGAACTTGATGAAGCATTATTTTTAGCTGGTCACATGTCATAATGCCAACAACACTTTCCATAACAAACACAAAGTTTAGCCCTCTTGATGCCCACAGCATGTGGGGGGTTAAATTGGGCACACGCAGAACTTCTCTCATTGTACCTCTAGAACCACCTAAAGTGTGTGTGTGTCTATAGACAAAACTTTTGGGTTTTTTTTGGATACAACCAGGGCCGTCCCTATAATTCTTTGGTGGGGCCAGTGTCTCCCGGGTTGCTAAGAGCTGGGTGGGGAGATGTGTAAGGGCCATACACTTGTCCCTTCCCAACTCTTAGCAACCTTGGATGCTCTGGCCAGTGTCCCACCCAGCACCTGGAAACCAGTGATGTCAGTGAGCTGGACAGAATGCCGACCAGAGCTGGGAAGTGCACCACCAGGATGCAATCAACACCACCATTTCTTCATGGAACGTGACCACCAGCAACCCACCCCACTACCTTAGGTTGTGCTTATGCTAGGGACACTCCTGGATACAATGGTAAGGGATGAGAACCTCTATCAAGTTTCTATTGCCATCAATGTCTCCGGTACAGAAAGTGATAGAGAAGCTTTTTGAGCTGTCACAGGAACAAGGAGGGGAATTCTTGCAATGGCTAAACTTGTTCTGGTGACAACTGTCTAAAGAGATACTTTCCCCTTGCTTTGGAGAGATGTCCGCTTCACCTTTCTGGTGTGATTCTGGGACCGGAAGTAAAAAAGAACTTTGTTGATCTTTCCAATACTTGAAGTAGAACTCAACTCTTACATCAGAGTCCCCCTTCACATCAGAGCTCTCCTTTACATCAGAGCTCCCCTTTTACATCAGCCTTACATCTGACCTTAAGTGAACCTGGATGTAAACACAGTGGTCAGGAGACATCTTTCCCTGCACCGGATTTGATTATCCCGAGAGAGCTGATACTTACAGGGTTATTCACAAAAGAGTGAAGAGTGAATAACCCTGTTAGATTTGCAGCATACATAAGACTGCATCCTAGGAGAGTTGTAGACCATATCCCGTAGCATAGAGCATAACTATATGGTGATTTATTGATAGTACTACCCTTGCTTAAATTACATCTCTGTAATCACTGACTATACTGTATATGAATAATCTGTGCCTGTTCACAGCTGTCTTCTGTACAATAGACTCTGGCTATCTGGAGAGGATTTATAATATAGGAATTCATGGTTTCAATGTAATTGCCAACTAAACTAAGGTTGCCATGAGTGTTGCCCACTTGGGCACTATCCAATTAATATTAGTACAAGGCCAACACCTGAGGTTTAATCTGCTCTATGTTTTAAATTAATATATTTATTCTGCGGTGCAAAGGGGAAACTGATAAGTCAATATGCTATGGGTCACCACCTATGTACCCCATTCCTGCCCTAGGCACTGCCAGCCACTGTGTATATAGCCCACAATCTATAATCTACATAGGCCCACCTCCAGTATGAGCTGTAGACCACGCACACACACACATGTGTATATATAATTATATATACAAACATAATAAAATAATCAAATCATACCATGCGTTGCTGAGCCTGGAACTCCCTCTCTCTTTCCAGGCGATATTGCTCGATCTCCCCTTGTGCCTCCTCTTTTGCTTGCTTCAGCCTGCGGGCTTTGCCTAGGGATTAAACGTACCATTAGTTGCACGGGAACATCATCCCTCTCATCGGCCCACACAGACAAACAGAGAGACACTAATCTTACGTTTCCTGGCCTCCGCCACCCTCTCGGCTGCTCTCTTCTCAGCCTGCAGCAGCTGCTGGATGCCCTGTGACTGGCTGGCCATGATGTCTCTGTACAATAGAATGGGATTTCTATAAAACCAGCCCTGCGCAAGCCTTTACGCTATGGCTTCTTGATTGATTTGGTTCCCCTATGCAGCTATCACTGTGTCCTCTGTGCAGAGCACTTCCTCCTCCCCCTGTTCTCTGCCTTCATCCTCATCAAGCATCATCTCCTTATCCCTCCCCTTATAGGTACCAATAACAGACAGTTCTCCTCCCCCCATCCTCAGCATCATCTCTTCATCCTTCCCCTTTAGGTACCACTGATACACTGTGTTCTTTATCCTTCAGCATCATCTCCTCCATCCATGTATCACAACCGTGGTTATGTATCACTTTCTTATCAGCATCATCTCCTCCTTGAGTCACCAGTAACACACAGCGTCCTTTCTCATCCCTCCCTCCTGTCTCAGCACCATTCCTCTGTCCATCATCATCCTCCCTCCCTTCTCAGCATCTTTTCCTCTGTCCAGCCTCATCCTTCATCCGCTCTGAGTATTCTTTCCTCTGATCATCCTCCCTCCCTTCTCAGCATCTTATTTTCTGTCCATCCTCAACCCCCCTCCCTTCTCAGCATCCTTTCTCTGTCCATCCTCCCATCTCAGCATAATTTCCTCTGTTCATCTTCATCCTCCCTCCCTTTTCAGCATCTTTTCCTCTGTCCATCCCCATCCTTCATCCCTTCTCAGCATCTTTTCCTCTGTCCATCCCCTTCCTTCCTCCCTTCTCAGCATCTTTTCCTCTGTTCATTCTCATCCTTCATCCCTTTTCAGCATCCTTTCTTCTGTCCATCCTCATCCTCCCCCCTTCTCAGCATCTTATCTTCTGGCCATCCTCATCCTCCCTTCTCAGGATCCTTTCCTCTGATCATCCTCATCCTCCCTCTCTTCTCAGCATCTTATCTTCTGGCCATATTCATCCTCCCTCTCTTCTCAGCATCTTATCTTCTGGCCATATTCATCCTCCCTCCCTTCTCAGCATCCTTTCTCTGTCCATCCTCATCCTCCCCCCCTGTCTCAATATCCTTTCCTCTGTCTGTCCTCCTCCCCCTTCCCTTCTCAGCATCTTTTCCTCTGTCCATCTCCATCCTTCAACAGTCATTGCCGTCAAAATAATGAATCAATATATCCATACCTCATATACAGTCATTGCCCTCAAAATAATGAATCAATATATCCATACCTCATATACAGTCATTGCCCTCAAAATAATGAATCAATATATCCATACCTCATATACTGTTATTCGCATCAAATTAATTAATCTTAATATCCATGCCCCAAATACAATCAATGGCCAAAGTGAAATAATCAATATATCCATACCCCATATACAGTCGATGGACACAAAACGAATTAATCAATATATCCAGTCAATGGACAAAGTTAATGCATCATTTTATCCCTACCTCATATACAGTCAATGGCCACAAAATTATTTAATCAATATATTTAATTTTATTCAACAAAAATAATAGACATTCTATTAAAATCTTTAAAAAGATAAGCGAAAGCTCCCCTCTCTAATTTGCATTATAGGTCTCTCATATATATATCTCTCTCTCTCTCTCTATATATATATATAGAGAGAGAGAGAGAGATATACACTGAGTGTCCAAATTATTATGACCACCCCATCAGAACTTCGTTGGGCCACGAGATAACTCCAGGAGATAACTTTGTTGAAGAGGTGAGATGATGAAAGGTGATGCGAGGAATCTGACACTGCACTGTTGCCCTTCTGTTGTCTTGTACCAGTCTTGCCACTCTCCGTTCTGCCCTACCATTGACTAGTCGCTGACGGCCACAATTCGCACGTTCAGACCCAGATTTTCGGCTGACAGTCCGGTCTTTAAACACTTTAACAATGAGCCCCTCTTGAATATTTAACAAATTCTGCTGTTTTGCTGATACTCGCTCCATGGCTCCGAGCGCCAACAATCATCCCACGTTCAAAGACTGTTAAATCGCATCTACTGTCGTGGTAAACTACATGCTTCCCTATTTATAATGGTCTGGCCCTCTAGCAACTTCAGCGCCAAATTATAGCTAATTTGCCTACAAACGTCAGGTGGTCATAATAATCTGGCCACTCAGTGTATATGATCACTTAAGCTTAAAAGTCCACATGTCTTACAATCTCCACTACATCTACCAACAACTATGTAATGCCAGGGCCTGCATGGTCAGATACAAATTGAGTTGGTAGTTTAGTTAGATCCTGATATTATATAGTTTGGCTAAGTTGATTGGCTGACCATACAATATACAATCTTTTTTTGTTTTCAGAATCAAATCATACAATATACAATCTTATCTTATTGTACAATCTCCTTTAGTTCTACCATCCACTATGTAGTATAAGAGTGTGCCTGATTTCATACTAACTAAAGGATTGTTTAGGTTTGCCTTCATATTACATTGGTTTGGTAAAGCTAAAGGAGATCGGTATGTCCATGGATCTAGGATACAATCAGATTGTACAGCGTGTGGCCAGCGTAAGATGTAATAGGTGGGGATATTCAGCATAAATCAGCAGAAGTGGATTGGGAAGTAAAATCTGGACGGTTTCTGGTGTTCTAGTACCTATAAGAATTATTATACAAACAAAGCTTTACATGAGGACGAAGATCATTATTTTTAGCCATGAGACTGTGATGTCCAATTGTCTATTCACAATGATAACACATCAGGACGGGATCCATAAAAAAGTGACAGTTATTTTCAGGCCAGACAAGTGAGATTTAACAAATGACAGTTATAAGACTAAACACAAATTCAGTATGCTTGTGTTATATCCTTGTGCACTGATGTTGCTGAACCCAGCCCCCACCCCGTCCCAAGATGATGGACATCAAAACATGAAGACATTCAGAACAAGCATTAAAACCCCTTTAAAACAATACCCCCACTAAGCTCTGTAGCTATAGCCAATGCGGCGTAATACATCTTTAAAAATTCCCAATAAAGGGCACTGTGCAGAGTGATGTCACAACAGCAGCCAGCTCCCTGCTAAGCCCCGCCCACCTACCCTATGATGTCACACAGTGGGAGAAGCTCTATAAATAAGAGCTCTGCAGCTTGACAGCCTCAGATAACACGAGGAGGAGAGAGGGTGCGTGTTATTGCGTTTTTGCTGTTTTCTTGCAAGAAAATGGCAATGTCTGTGCTATTGCTCAGATGCGTTTTATTTGCTGTCCTTATTGGACAGGCTGCGGGAGCGCCTCTACGACAACTGGATAGAGGCGTTGTTGATTCTGGAGATATGATAGATAGCGGTAAGTGTCAACCTCTGCAATATTGTGCTATGAGGTGGGAAGTTGTTGGGTGTCACCTCTTAGGTCGCTGGCATTGCACCTGCAGGAGGTGTCTTTAGGTGACATTGGGGGTCGTGTGGGGGCCACTTATTACCTAATATAGTAACATGATGACCAGATGATGGATGTTAAAGGGACCCTGTCACCACCTTTGGCAGTCTCGTTGAATGCCAGTTTAGGCTGCACAAATTGCTGAAGCAGAGACGGATAAAGGTCATTGGATATTGTACATCTCTATATATAGCCCACAATTGTGATCACATGTATGTCTAGGGGGGAGGGGGTACAATGGGGTAACATCCTGTTCTAGGTATTGGAATGAGATCTGTAACAATTCTATCTTTTTTCTATTTACAGTGACGAGTCTACCCAACACCACCGGTAATTTTACTGATGATCAACAGTCTGCCGATGGTAAGTCTAGGGATCTATGATACAATAATATGACCAATCAAATGTCATCAGTTACATTAGCTGTGCAAGAAGCTGATGACTGATTGGTTACTGGGAGGAAGCTGTACAACTTGGTACAGAAAACAGTAACACTGGACTTGAGTGATATGGAATTGATCCCATTGATGTTTCCATACGTATCTAGAATTCTTTTGTGTGCTTCTCCTATTAATAATATATTTTTCCTCTCTAGGTATGCCCATCAGATATTTGCTGGGGGTGATCATCTTGCTTGCGCTTGTAGCTATATTGCTGTGTTTGATTATTGGCTGCCTCCTGACCAACTGCTTATGGTAAGTATCCACCATCATCTACAGAATCCCTTCATGTAAGACTCTTGAGCTGGCCATACACTGTTATAATTAACAGGAATCCGCCTTAGATTCAACCATACTTTCACTCACTGAAAACTATACAGCCCCCGTGCGTCTGATGTCTTCTCTCAGCGCTGCATTATTAGATCCGATGATGATTTTTACATTTTACTTTATTTATTTTTTTACAGCCAAAAACAAGAAGACAAGTTGCAGGAGCTTTACAAAATGCTTTGGTACAGCGATCACGAAACTGCTTCAAGCGCTGCAGAGCTGACCGAGGCCGAAACACCTGGTAAGAAAAGATGATTGATATACTCTTGGTATAGTTTATTAACATTTAATTATTACTTAATTCTTATCCTCAATGTCTTTCTCTTTCCTCCACCAGAATACCAGCAACCTAATATTGGCAGTCCAGGGATGTTCGGCTTTGGGAGATTCTTTTAGTAATCTGCTCCCTTCCATGTTGCCTCACCTCAGAGGCAACAGAGAGCAGAGAATGCAGAAGAGGAGGAGGAGAAGGCGGGCCGTACATACAAAAGAAGAAAGTCCCCAAAACAACGAAGAGACACAAAACGCCATAAAGCACTCTGATCTACAATATGATGGTAAGTCTAAAGCCAGTTTTACACATACAAACACATTTTAACACACTTTACCACTACACATGACAACGTTTGTGCCATACATTTTGACGGGTACCCCAGTGCATTAAGGCAAGGCATCTCCAACACCACAACACACAGTAACACACTGGATTCAGCTATGTGGATTCCAGTTATGAGTAGTGGTGGTTAAAAAATTGGGGTTCTAAATCAGAATGGAATATAGACTCTGTATATAACAATTCTATTACTTTATGTTTACAGCGGTTAATGATACTTACGTTGATGATGACGTATCATATTGATGGACCACCCACATGGAGCGTTTTTACCATCTAGCAGTGATAAGTCTATAGGTAGCCATACATGTTCAGATTTCTCTTGTTCAACCCCGTGGGCTGAATGAGAGAAGCTAATCACATGTTTTATTTCGATACATATCTAGAATTGTAAAAAATGCTTCCTCAATTAATAAATATTT